TGAGTTTGGGGGGGGGGGGGAGGGGATAGTAGAGAGTAGAGAGTAGTGAGTTTGGATCAGTCACTGAATGAGTGAGTGAATGAGTGAGTGACTGTGTGTGTGTGTTTTCCACTGTGTATCTGTGTGTCATATATTACATCGGATCTTCTTATTCTACCTCTTCTTCAATGTAATAGTAGTAGTAGTACAGTAAGTAGTAGTAGTAGTAGGGCTCATATCCACGAGAGGGACTGACTGACTGACTGACTGACTCTGCTAGTGCATGCATCCCCATGTTAACGTAATATAATGTATATGTAGGTGATGTATGTAAGCCTTCACGCCCAGCTGGGGGGAGGGGGCTTCACTTTTCTCTACCTCACCGAACAGTGAGAAAGAGAAAGAGAAAGAGAGAATAATAATAATAAAATGTAATAAAAAAAACAGAGGATCTGCTTGAATAGTTTTTACACCCTAATTGTTATTGTGTCAGCTGCTGTTGTTTTTTTTCATCAACTTTCTGACTTTGGTGGTATGGGGTCGGGTCCACGGCGGTTTGCGTTTTCGTGATAAGGGGGGAGAGGGGAGGGGCGGAGAGTGATAATGTTCGATTCCAGATCCCCATTCATTCAAGTTGTTGTTGGGTCAGTCACATGGCCATCGGGCAGGCACACACACAAAGGGGTACTAGTAGTAGTAGTCGTAGTATCAGACTGGGGAGCATGTCGCGAAACACGCTTAGTCGTCGACTAGGTACAATCGTGTGTTTCGCTTGCAGTTCTCTGGGGTTTTGAGAATTCGGAAACGCGCGGCAAAGTGTGTGTGTGTGTGTGTGTGAGCGAGAGAGAGAGAGAGAGAGTGAGACTTGGTGTGTGTGTTGGGTTTGAGTGGGTTTGGGTTTTGCGAGCGCCGCATCATTCTGTGTATGTCCACATCCATTCGGCGCGTTCTGCGTCTCCCTAATTTTGCCCTCAATCCTGGGGGGGGATTACACGAAGAGGATGCTGAGAAGCACCAAGCTGCTTTTCTTATTGGTCTTTTCTGTGGCCGTCTCTGTCCACTGGCCTGCAACGCTCTCGTGAGCAACTAAGCGCTCAAGTGCGTAGACCTGGTTGATGATCGAGTCTCACTGCTACCCTCAAGCGGCGTGTCTTGGACGCAGTTGCCGAAACCTCCTGGATTGAGGGTTACTGAAAAAGCTATACTTGAAGGTATACGGCTACGTACTTCCCTGGTTGTGTTCCAATTTTACTGCTGATGAGGTTAGGTTTTTATTTTTGTTTTTTTTTGTGTCTCTCTATCTCTCGCTTGGGCTCCAAACAGAGCCTGAGTCTTGTCGATAAGGACAATCCTAGAGCGGCAGTATGGGCATTAATCTACTCGAGGAGTCGTTGATGACGTAATAGTGGCCATGGCCATGGCCGTGGCTGCATGGCGTTAGGGTATAGTATTGTTTTGACCTGGCCTTCAAGCGTTTTGGAGCATTCCAATCATCGAGCTTGGCTTGTGGATTGCTGAGCCTGCTACTCAAATTCTACCCTCATCGTTTCTTTGGCTTTTCACAGTAGCTCAAAACTGTCGGAGCTTTGATTTCTATCCCATCCACGTCAACATGTCCACGGGTATTCAAATTAGCCTTCCGGAGTTTGATTAGATACTATCCCATCACTATGAGTACCTTGCGCTGGCAAAACAATGCTCATCCAAGGACGCCATAGCCACAACAGAAGAAGTCAAAGTCTCTAGGCTTCGAAGAGAAAGTGACTCAGTTTCGTAGCATCTTTTCTGGGCGCCAAGTCGCGAGTATATTGTGCTGAAGTGGGATGTTGTTTGACAGGCCTGTTAGTTTTGCTGCTATGAAGACCCCCGGGTGGGAGGTCTGGAACAACATGCGCAAGCCGCCAGTGTCGATGTAACTGGGCTGCTGCACACGGAAGCCGACTGCACCTGCATTGCCGCAGAGGCTTGACATGAATTTTTTGATGATTCTGCCCTTCTAACTGGTGAGTGCTACAATACCAAGTGGTTGAGAGTTGATCACCCACGAGTTGTCAAGCGTACAAGGCCCTCTTTAAAAGCCCTCGGAGAACGACCCTGAGGAGTCATCGGGACATTGCACTCAGCAAAGAAAGGATTCTTTTCTATTGCAGGAAGAATTAAACCTTGCAAGGATGGGTTGGCTTGATTCTATTTTTGGCTCTGGCTCTGGCTCTGGCTCATCTGATCATCGTCGCTACAGCGAGAATGAGTATTACGAATATTCAAGACATAGTTCTGGCCCATCGCATAGCGGTGGTGGCTTCAGTTCTGATTCGTGGCGTGGACCCAACATTTTCGAGGTAGTCATTTCAGCATCTTATTATTCTTCAAACCCAAATATATGTTGTATATTTATGATCTCTAGGGTATGATATTAGATATGGTGATTGGAGCACTATCAGAGCCAGAAGCACGCAGATTGCAGGTTTCTTACATGAATCATGCACAACTTCTACAGGATCCGTATGCCAATGTGTACTCGAGCTACGGCAGGAGCAATCCATATGATAACGAACGCTCGAGCCAAGGCTATGGAAGCTCGAGTCTAGACTGTGGGCACTATAGTCATGACAGTGGACGTTCGTACCAGGATTACAGGAACCCTTATGGGTATATGGGCCCTGGTTATGGTTATGGTTTTGATTATGGTGCCAGCAGTGAGCCGAGTTATCTGGCTAGGCGGAGTACCGAAGAGGACAGGCAAAGCACCAAACAGGTGGCTTCAGATGACGATGAAAGTAAGGTCAATTTCGCATACAGTGAATTAAGAAGGGAAAAAAGAAAAAAGAAAAAAGAAAAACAAACTGGATCGGGAAATTTAACAAGAAGTTAACTATTTTTGCGGGTTCGCTAGATCGCAGTGATGGAGCACAGGACGCGATTAATTGCTCATGTTGTGTTTCTTTACAGGCAGAGCTGAGACCGAGGATGAATTTGATAACGAGGCTGGAGACTTAGCCAGGGATCTGGGAACTTTGAGTATTCATCATCATCAGTATCCCCCACCGCAACGCACTTCTGTCATTGCTCCCTACAACCACAATTACATGCCTGCACCTAGGTAGCGTTTCTTGCTTCCTATCATTTCCCCATCCGAAGTTCTGTGGCCAGTCGTTTGAACACTGAAACCTCCCATCAAACAAACTTAAGACAGATACCATGTGGAATTGGATTTAACCTGCTTCATACTTCCTTTCAAGTGTCGAACCAATAATTGATAGTTTGTCTTGACTATCACTAGATTAGTTCATCTGTAGATAATGGATAACAAGAGAGCGTGATGCGAGATATTTGGTTTGAAACTAACATGTGACATGGCATTGCTGCGTATGGTAGATCTGCTCCACAATCAACTTGTGCTGGTTGCAAGCAGTCGCTGAGTCATGGGAGGTTTCTGACATGCCTTCATCAAAATTGGCATCCTTCATGTTTCTGCTGCCGTTCCTGCGGCAAGGCCATAGTTGACCGTGAGGTATGCAGCCCTGATTCTACAGGGCTAACGTCGAAGTTTGCTCTATCTTTTAACTTGCGTTCAAGACAACTAATATTATTTTCTATCCTTTTACAGCATTCTGCCATGTTTTTTTCTTTTCTAAAATGTAGCAGCTTGAGATGCAAAGCCTGTGTCTGATCACTTGGAAGGTCAATAGAGGCCACTCAAATCGCTGCTTTGTCCGTTGGGGGGTTGAGTTTATACCCATGAAGTTTTGAAAGCAATGTTAATTTGCCTTCGGCTGCACAGTTTTCCGTGCAGGAAGATGCTCCATATCACCGAGAGTGTTACAAAAAGTCCTTCCACCCCAAGTGCGAAATCTGCTACAATTTTGTAAGTGACAAACTTACTTTGCTAACGGAGTCTAGCATGGTTCTTCATGTTCTCTAAAGTTTCAAGGAGCAGAGTAGCGAGGGATAGTTTGCCGACTCAATGGCTGCACTATGTGAAAATACCTGCTGAGCAAGTCCCTTCTGCAGATTCCTCCGAATTCTAAAGGATTGATTGAGTACCGATCACATCCATTTTGGGATCAGAAATACTGCCCGTCACACGAATGGGATGGAAGAAGGCGTTGCTGTAGTTGCGATCGAATTGAGGTACTAGATTCGCATCTGGATTGAGCCTTTGTATGTTGACTCTAAAATTATTTGGGCGATTGTTGGGCAAGGTACCAATGTGTATCGCACTAGTAGCTACAGATTCCTTGCAACCCGTTCCTGATTGTGTTTGTGTGTTCGTATAGAAAATAGACCAGCAATACACACCCCTTGGAGATGGCAGGAAGTTGTGCGAAGATTGCATGGAATCGAACGTGATGGATACAAGGGGTTGCCAGCCCCTATATCGAGAAATTCTTAAATTCTACAAAGGTTTAGGCATGCCCATCGAGCAGGAAATACCCATGCTTTTGGTGAAGAGAGCTGCCCTGAATCATGCTAGGGAAGCTGAAAAGGATGTAAGCTCTTCCTTCTGCGAGCACCTTTAGTAGTGCACTCTAGTGTGATGAAAAGTGTTCTCTCCGTTTCATAAGCCAGATTCTAATGACTTGCGGCTCTGCAGTTAATGCTTGAATAACACGTATAGTTATTCTTAGATGTCAGGTTTCCATGGATTTACAAATGTGTGAAATGTTGACAACCATGCAGGAGCACATACACGCTCCAGAAACTCGAGGACTCTGCTTGTCAGAGGAGCAAACTATAACCACTGTACGTCCAGTATGAGAAATTTTCTCACTCGCATTTTATGCAAAAGTAAAATTTTAAAATCCCAAGAAGGACTGTATTGTTTGCAAATGTGAGTTTAATTTGATTGATTGGTGCAACAACAGGTCTTCGTTTCTGACAGAGGTGAATATGGAGATTATGCTCATCCTGAGATGCAGACGAGGAAGTTGACTCGTCACTGTGAAGTCACTGCCATTCTTGTTCTCTTCGGTTTACCAAGGTCAGCATTTATAATGCGTCGTCTTTTTCGAGGATAAATTATGATTGTTCAAAGCTTAGCTTTCAGTAATGTAATTATCCGATTTCTAACTATACTGTTTGTCCACGCACAGGTTGCTGACGGGCTCCATCTTAGCACATGAACTGATGCATGCATGGATTCGTCTTGATGGTGAATGAAACATACTACCTTCAAACCTTTCCCCTGGATATTTAGTTCAATAATGTCGCTGCCATGTTTGATGAGTACTAAAGAACTTTATGAACTCAACAAACGTTTTTGTTTTCGTGAACATGCAGGTAGATTTCCAAATCTGGACAACGACATAGAAGAGGGAATATGCCAAGTGATAGCCCATATATGGCTGAAAGAGGAGCTCGAGAAGTTAAAGAGAAGTGTCTCAAGAGAAACCAAACGCCTTGGTGAATTTTTTCTTCACCAAATTGAGACCGACTCGTCACCCATCTATGGAGACGGTTTCCGAGCTGCCTACACTGCATACAAGAATTATGGGCTTGCAAAGACCCTGAACCATCTAAGGAACACAGGAAGAATACTCCAATAAACGCCAGAAAGCAAGGTAATAAACTCAATGGGTGTGGAGACCAATCCTCGGGAGGAACAACGCATGTCAAGACCCTGAGGCTTGGCATAGCTGGTCTGATTGTGGACTGATAGAAGTGTTGAAACTTTGAAGTTTGGCTGATCAGTCCACTGCTTTCTAGTTATCTTTGCACCTGATTGACTGGCATAACTAGTTAAGCTTCCGCGATACTTTCAAGGAATGTAAACTTTTAACTCAGCTGTCGGTGGATAGCTTCACTCTTCTGCTAGACTTGAGTAGATAGGAGTTGAAAGACTGGGCTCAGGGGAGGTAGCACACACTGGCTTAGGTATCAAACTGTTGAGCTTATTGTTGAGTCCTTTCAAGTCTCTGGCGGCAAAGACTCCTGCATCGAACTGGGTGCACCAGAATTTTCGGATGTGGAGTAAAGATCGAAAGCTCGATACGCGGGCGTTGGAGATGGCAGGAAGTCCTTCAAGTGATCTACGTAAGTACCAAGCAGGCGAGGCTCAACTTGCAGCTGCAGTCTATAGGCGAGAATCACAGGGACCTTGTGATATAATGAAATGAAGAAGCATTGTAGCCTATTACTGTAATCGGAGTAGAACACGATGTCTGAGAGTTGTTATGAGCAAGAATGCAAAACAAAACCAAGACATCTTTTTGTTCTTCGTTCAAAATTGTGTTTGGTTTCGATGTGTGTGTTTGTTTTGACAATCAAATTATGACTTTTCGGTTGGAGTATGAGTAGCACCTTTCGCTTTGTCCGAGAGGTCTGAAAAGTTTTTCACCTAGTTCTTGTGGAACTTAAGGAGAACTTAAATTTAAATTAAACTTACACTTAAATTTTGTGGAAGATTTCAAGCAAAGTTTTTAACAATAAAAAAACAATAATATCTTAAAAAATCTAAATCAATTAAGTTTAACATGCTTTATTGCATTGTGAAACATTGTTATATCAATAAAAATATTTCAAATTTATATTAAGTATTTAAAATACATTATATGTATGTATGTGTATATATATATATATATATATAGAGAGAGAGAGAGAGAGAGAGAAATGTTAAAATGATCCACCTGTTTATTAAATCGACCTATCCTATCATGACCATCAGTAGAGAAATAGATCATCTATAGAAACCGTCATTACAATTATGGCTTTATCTTGACCCCTCATTTCCAATCCTCGCTCTCTCCATTCTCAACTCTCATCGCAATCCCCTTTGTTCTCTTTATTTCTAACCCTCATCCCAACCTCTTTTCCCCCTCCAAATGATTGCCACCTTTGTGTTTATTATCCTTCTATTGCCCTCTTGTGAAACGTTTTTATTCTGCATAAGCTCTTGGTAAAGTTTTTATAATGTGCATTCAAACTTGTTGGATTTAGAGGCTTTGGATTTTGTGAGTTTAATTCCAAAATGGTTTTATTTAGGTTCTAAACTAACAGTTTGTATGTGAAGTGGTATTTGTTCTTAGTAAAATTGAAAAAATTAACATGCATTTTTTCCACAGAGCTCATTTTTAGATCAAATAAAGGTTTGTTATATGGACCACAATCTGGTAATGAAACCACCCTAAAAGAAAGAGATGAATGCATTTGCATGAGAAATGGATTATAGTGATTTATCTATGATGGAGTGCAAAGAAAAATTTGTATTAGTAGACAATTGTGGCTTGATTTTGCATTTTTAGGAGAGATAGAAAGAATTGGATATTTTTTTTTGGTTGTGCATGTGTACCAAGCATCAAATTTTTGTTCCTACTTCAAGAATTCTTTACCTTTCAAAGATAATGATTAAACATGTCCTAGATGATACAACTTCTATAATTGAAGAATTATTCTGTAAAGGTATTTTGATGCTCTCTTTCTACTCTCTTCTTCCTGCATCTCACTTCACTTTCATAAAAGAATAAATTTCTCTTAAAATTTGTTGCTAAATTTTACCATCAATATTATATATGGTTTGTTTCTTATAGATCTTGTTGCTTGGTTTCTAGATTTGAAGATTTAACTTTAATGTTGTTCATAAAACTTTAGAATAATGGAATCGCATAAAGTCAAAGTTCAAGATGAAGAAAGAAAAATATTCTCTAAATGAGTCATAGTATTAAGAAATTATATCAATTTTAATTTTACATATGCATATTGGGAATCCACAAAGAGAAATATTTTATTACCATATCATAGTGAAGTTTCTTATTGTTTTTCATCAAACTCAAGAAGAATTTTAATGGTGTGATTGAATTATATTCAATCTTGCATTAACAAGATGAAACAAGATACACATCCAAGATTCAAGCTTTAGAGAGCATTAGAGTTAAAGTCAAGTATTGAACTTTAACATGTGAGACCTCTTTTCCATTTTGCTTGGTAAGAAAGTGTATGTAATCAAATTCTAAATATTGCTAAGAAGAACTCTTGACTGAGACTCATACAATTGGGAACAAGGGAGGGGGAGGGGGTTTGGAATGAAGAAGGCTAGGAATAGAGGGAATGAGGGCTAAAAACAAGAGGGGTGGAGATCCATTTTTCTATTGATGGTTGCAATAAGGTGGATCTATTTAGTAAATGGGTGCACCATTTTCATATTTTTCTAAGTATATATACCTATATCTTTAAAATATAATAATTTATATAAATATATTTTACTATTTTTAACAATCATGATTTTTTTCTCCAAATAAAAAATAAATATGCAGATATTAATTACCTGCAGCAATCAAAACTATAATTTTTTTAAAATAATTTATTTTAAATTTTAGTTTAGTCAAAAAAATTAAAATACTGGTTTTTTGCTTTATAATATATAATAATGCTTATATACAAGATGAGAAAATCAAAATATTAAATTAATTTATTTCCTATGGGATTATAATGATTTAAAATCTAAGAGAACATCTGAAATTCATTTTTCCTTTTTGTGACATATTCAAGAAAATAATGTTGGTACACTAAAACAATTATTGAAATCTTTTTTTTCTTACAAGTCTTTTGTATGCATGTAATTTAAATGTTGAATTAAAATAAGCAAATGAAATTTGACTAGCATTAGAGTTTTTACTTCACTATCTGCGCTAGAGGTTTTTGAATTGCTCAGTTGAAACTATATCTATTCACTTATACTTTTTGTTTGTAGTATTATCTTTAAAAATTATTCAGTTTGATTTATTTTTATTTTTATTTTTTTGGTATCTTTGGGAATTTCTTTATTAATATATTGGCCAAAATTTTGGCTATTTATATTATTATTTTTTTATTCATTTGTTTTAAAACGTGGAAAATTTTCTTAATTCAAAAGAATACTTTTTATAAAATGAAACAATTAAATCAACATCAAATGTTTGCCCTAAACTTTTTAGAATACAAGTATTTGGATTTTTATTTTTTTAAAAAAAGAATCCTATAAATCAACCAAGTAAAAAAATAAAAAATGAAAAATGTGTCATTTATTTTTATTTTTTTATTCCGGTATTATTTCTAGCACCCAAAAAAAATTTCAAAAAACATATGTTGCATTTCTAATACTTTAACTTCCTACTTACATTCATCTTCTACTTTCACTTCAAAACTTCGATTTAATATGTTGTAAGTTAAAAACCTTCGATTATTAAATGACGAAAAGCTATACCTAACACAAACCGTACCTAAATGAATTTTTATAAACAGACAGAAAAATCACGAAACAAAACAAAACAAAGAACTACTTACAACCGCACAGATGGGTGAGAGAGCGGCTATAGGAGGCCGACTTGTAGCCGCGTGTCGGTGGGAGCGGAGGCAACGAGGCGGACGGGGAGTGGCAAGAGGGAGAACTTCGACGGAGGCCGAGCGATGGGTTTTGCGCGATCCATTGGTAGATGAATTTGGGGGGTCTCGACGAGGGATCCGACGGATCCGAGACTGCTACATGGTGCAGTGTTGAAACACCCACTTGGCAGCCAAAAAGTCCCCTCTTCCGATGCCGTTACTCGACACCTACACACCGAACTTTACACTCCTTCCGGCGCTCTCCTTCACATATAAACCTCGCTTGCAGGGATCCTGGTCACCAGTCATCGGAAGCATTCCTTCTTTACCATTTGTATACCTGTGTACGATAACCATTTTCATTTCGTATAATTTACAGCTTGTTTTCTTCATACAGTTCGTCATTTTTTTTTTTTTTTTTTTTTTTTTTCTTCTAGTCCTGGTTTTTCGATAAGATCAGAATGGCAACGTCAAGTGTGTTGAGCAGGAACTCCATCCAGTCTGCAGCTGGGCTTCCAGCGCTGGGATCTGCGAAGGTGAAGGCCAGGTCGAATATTGGCCAGTTCCTCGCTGCACCCGTCTCTCAGAGGGCTCGGCGCAGCTTGGTTGTCAACTCCAAGCAAGACACTCCCGCTGTAAGTGCCACATTCCGTTGTTGTTTCCTGTACGTTGGACCTTTTTGAGTAAAATCCTTCCAGCCTAGAGGAATTATACCGTGGTATGTGATATCCTTCACTGGGCAGTCTGCAAGGCCAAGTCGGTTTGCATGTGGCATTCCTCTCAATGCTCTGGTGCTCAAATTTTGTTCACCCTGCAGCCGGAAACAAAGCGTGAGCCGGAGAAGAAGGATGACCCCCTCCGCATCTTTGAGGGGTCGCCTGTGGAGAAATTCTACCGACCTGAGAACGAGCGCCGTCCGGAAGACGGCAACACCAGCACGGAGAGCCTGATGAAATTCGACGGACCCGCACCCGAGACTATCAACAGCCGTCTGGCCATGCTGGGCATTACCTGGGCCTTCGTCGCGGAGATTCTCACAGGCCAGAGCGTGTGGGAGCAGGTCACCGAGGGCCGGGGCTTAATCTGGTTCCTGTTCGTCGCCCCCATCGTGATCGGCGCTACTCTGATCCCCATGTACAACAAGGAGTCTCCCGACAGCCGCGAGAACGGCCCCTTCAACGCGCAGAACGAGCGATGGAACGGGCGAGCGGCCATGATCGGACTCGTGGCGCTTCTCGTCACCGAAAACATCTACCTCAAGGGCCCATTGCTGGGCTTCATCCACAGCTCTCTCAATTTGTAGACAACACATTATGGGCACCATCAACAAGGACATCTACCGATCCTGCACCCATTATGCAGCGAGCATGCATTCAATCCTCTGAGTGCACATAACAGCTAGTATTGTATAAAACAATAGTAGTTGTAATAATATTAAACTACTGTTCATAGTACCTTAAATATCGACAAGCTATCTAGACATTGCCGGGGAGAAACCCACTCCGAGTGAGCAATAGCGGCGTGCAGCTTTACAACGATTGTAAACTCATGGTTTGAGAATTGGATAATGTATAAATAGTTTTCTTAAGACTTGTACTGATCAAGACGCAATTCTCAATCCAGTTATTGAGATCGCCGGTATCAGTGTCTTGGTTTTTGTGGACTGTTTGACATGGTGACTCGAAATGTTGAGAGTGTCGGTTGAGAAGAGTTGTGATTATGGGTATACAGTTTGGGAACTCTGTGATGCGAATTAGAGCTTGGATTGATGCAACCGCCATGTATTGACAATTCTCGACACAGAGTTGATAGTCTTTGTATCGCAACATCAAAAGTAGTTGTATACAAGGCATTGTTTCCTCAACCTCATACATGCTGGTTTCCGTGTGATGAAGTGGTGCTTCGGTGTTGGGGTTGTGAGTACGTGTGAAGAGTGAGTGGCATATTGTGCAAGCTTGGGGTGAAGATAGCCGAACCGAGAGACGTTGTAGACAAGCAAGAGCGAAGCCAGCGAGGTGAGGATGGACGGTGGGCAGATGAGCCATAGCGTTTGCGGGGAGTGCTCGGAACTGGATTATAGGGCCGCTGGGGGGCAGGTTGACAGTGTGGGCGGTGATATGATCGGGCACACTTCATAGGCGTAACCTGCTCCATGAACGTTTGAATCTCAGCGAAATACATCGTGCCGCATGAGCCCTAGTTTTGCGGCCTGCAAGGGGATGGGTGCGAGATGGGCGACCTAATGGAAAGTTTAATCCCCTTCACAATTTGACGTAGCGACTGCAAGCCAATAATCGTGCGCAGCCTGGGAATCTAACCCCAGTCAGTACCGTGGGAGGGTACTATGGTACCTGTGAAATTGTGAAATCCCCACTGTGGTTTAAAATCCCCCCAAGGTGGGGACCTGATGCTTAAATCGTGACATGTGGGTATGGCCTTATGCCGAGTGAAGGTGGGCAATCGGCCGTGCCCTAACTGGGCCGGGTATAGTTTAGCATTGACCTCTAATTCTTTTCAGACGTCAAAGTGCGGGCTATACTGTAGAAATTGAATAATAACTTACTCTTTCCAGGGTTTGAAGAAGGATTTGTTCTATGCATGCGCCTTATGAAACCCTCCGCATGACTTCGTCCTTACTTCGTTGAAAATTGGTGCGATCACTTACCTCTTGTTTTGATTTGTGTTGGTCCTCTTGACTTATCTTTCCTGTCAACTGATCCTGCTCGTTTTGTTGGTGAAGTGTTGTGCCTTCCTTCATCTCCGGTGTCTTGTGCTTAAGCTGAAGAATTGTCGTCCATCAAAGAATTGTTGTCCATCAGCCATCCAAGCGTGGAAATTATCGCCCTGGAGGTAGTGTCGCAGTGGAAGATTATTTGATTGAGTCTGTATTTCAACAATTCAAAGAACCTCTTCCGCTTGTCAAAGTATCTTCGCATTGCTCTAAGTTTCTGTCAACATTACTTTTTTTTATGTTCCTAATATGATTGTCAAACAAGTTCATTGGCCAAAATTAATCAATCCATATTCACCGCCACTATTGTGGCGATTGAGACGAGTGAACAGACGATGGTTAAGATTTGTGGCGTTGATATTGGAGTGACAAGCATTTGAAGTTGTGCGGGTTGACCATCTAGGGTATGTCGCAACTCTTGGAAGAACTGGTCAGAGTTGGGCTAGTTTGACAGAGAGATTGAGAAATGAAATATTTTTTCTTTTGTTTGTATTGAGTGAAGATTTTGATAAGTTATGGAGTTGTCTTCAAGAGGAGTCTGTAGGTTCTGAGTCTGCCTCACCATGATGTGAGGGAGTAAGAATTTACCAGAATGGCGAATTCTAATGTTTTTGTATAGTTGATAAACTGCAGATTCCGAGCTCGTCTTGGATTTTTAGGAATTTTCCTCGAGTAAGAGGTTTTGTCATGGTGTCCGCGATTTGATCCAATGTGGATATATAGAATAAATCAACTGTACCAGTTAGAAGATTCTCACAAATAAAATGATGCTGTACTTCAACATGTTTAGATCTGGCATGGAAAATGGGATTTCTAGCAGATTTGATGGTACTTTGATGATCATAAAAGAGTGAGATTGGTTCGATGTCTTTACCCTCATTTCTTTGAAGTAATGTTTTCAATCATGGGGCTTCTTTGATACCTTCAGTTATTGCTTTTGTTTTTGCATCAATATAAGATGTTGCAACTGTCCTTTGTTTTTTGGATGCCCATGTAATAGGTCCTCCTGCTAGTTTGAAACATATGAAACATATGATATAGATTTTGTCATTAGGATTATTAACCTAATCAACATCTGTATATCCAAAGATTTCTGCATTTTCATTTTAAAGATACAGAATCCCAAAATCAAGGACACCTTTAAAATATCTTTGTACATGTTTTGCAACTTGAAGATGAGCCTATTGTAGTGAATGCATAAATCTAATAAGAAGCCATGTAATATATGTTAGATCTGGTTAAGAGTTTAATGAGTAAATCATTTTCCCTAAAAGTTTTTGATAATAATTTTCATTAATTGGTGAAGAATCTTCATTTTCCAATTTTAATCCTTTGGATGTTAAAATTAAAGTTAGATTACTATCTTCTATTACAAATTTAATAAGAATGCTTTGAGTATGAGTCCAGTGTGTCAAGAAGAAACCCTTATGTGTTGATAGAAATTCTACACCAAGATAGAATTTGAGTTTGTTAGGTTTGATATATCAAACTTCATTAATTACATCTTTAACCAATTTACATAAGTAGTGTTATTTCTAGTAAGAAGTAAATCATCCACATAAAGTAAAAGTATTGTAATCCTTCTATTAACACATTGATAATATAGACTATAGTTTGCTTCTATTTGATTCATACCATGATTTTATAGAAAATTATCAATTTTTTGAATTAAGCTCTTAAAACCTGTTTAAAATCATAGAATAATTTATATAGTAGATATACTTTGTTGGCTGATTTTGGCTTGATAAATCCCTTTGATTATACCATATATACTAATTCATAAATATCACCCTTGAAAAATATAGTTTTAACATCTAAATGATATAATTCATATTTGATTAAAGTTTTTATAGCTATTATTATTCAAATGGTTTTCGATTTTGCAATAGATGCAAAAATTTAAGAATAATCAATTCTTTCTTATTGTTGAAAACCACAAGCAACAAGTCATGCTTTCAATTGTTGACTATATTGTTTTTATTGAATCTGATATTTCTTAAAATCACAAGTTTGTGCTCACTTGGAATCCAGCAATAATAGCCTTTAGTTTGATTATTGAACCTAATAAATATTCCTACAAATAATCTTTCAGAGAGTTTGTTTAATATACCATCTTTTTTAAGAATATATACTTTCAATTCAAAAACTCAAAATATGAAAGAGGAAAAGAACTTTACTTGTAAATTATTGGCATGGCATTTGTGAATTGAGATTTGTAGCCAGTGGTGAGAAATTTATAAGATAGGCAATAATATTCATGGCCTTACTTCAAAGAAACTTAGATATTTTACTATAAATTATAATAGCTTGTGTTTTCTTAAGTAGATTCCTATTTATTTATTCAACAACCTTATTATGAGAGGAGTGTTTAATGTTAGTAAGTTCTTGACAAATCCCATGACCTTGAGAGAATTGATTCATAGCTGTGGAGAAGAATTCATCATCTCTATCAAATTGCAACGCAGTGATTCTCTATCCACTTTTATTTTCAATAAAGATTATGGAGTGTTTAAAAATTTCAGTAGCTTCTAAATTCTTACAAAAATATTGTACTCACAACATGCAACTATATTCATCTATTATTACTATGACATACAGTGATTTGGCAAGTGAAGGCAATGACATTGGCTCTACTAAATCTATATGTAGTTGTTCAAGAATCATATTCATAAGAGAATGTGTCCATAAAATGGTTGGCAAAAATACAACCCACTATGAAGGAGCAAATTGTAATTTGATAGTTGCTGTGATAAATGCTAGTGTATGCTAGTGGCCAACTTGGTTGATGGAAAATGTCCTTTATTTGAAATACTTCATTATGTGCCAAAGTTATAAACATTGGTATTAGTTTAATATCAAAGAGAATCCATAAAGATTTAGTGATTAGTCAATTATAGAATAAACGCTATCAAAGTATCTTTGTTGCATGTTTTGGAGAAATTTGATGCAATCTAGACTTGGTTATTGTTGAAGCCTAGAAAGTCAATTGCCACAATGGTTAAGAACCTTGAGGAAGGATTTGATTAACTATTATCTAATGGAGATGCCTTGACCAGTAATCTGTTCCGATGGACCTCGAGCAATTCAAGTGATGTTTTAAAAATATGCTTTCTATATTTTGAAGCCACTTTTAAGACTCTAGACCACTCATTTGATCAAAAGTATTTGAGACTAAATCCTTGGATTTAATACTTAAGCCTCTCTCAAGTCCAATGTTTATATCAAATTCATCTAATTGATCTTGGCTTATGTAATAGTACTATTTTTTGCCTTCTATATGTAATTACATATGAAGACTCTATTATTTTTGAAAATAAAATTGGAGAATACATAATAAAAGCACAAGTACCAAATGCTTGTAAAGATGGCTTGATTGGATTTTATAATTCTTCCTATAAATAAAAGGTTTTGAATTCTCCTTAGTTTGAGTCCACCAGTGAGCCATTATATAGTTTTATTTACTATATCCTTTGCAATTGTTATAAATTTAATTAAAAAATCAAAATATTTTATTGTATGACCTTAAATTAGCCAAGTGAAGCTTAAATCTTGCACCAAATTCCAAATGCATAGTTGATTAGAAGCCCATATACCAATAGACTTCTGCCAATTAACTTTTGCTCCAGTGCTAGTGCAAAATGTGTTGAAAATATTCATGGTTGTATTCAAGTTAGTTTCACTTCTTTGTAGATATAAGATTGAATCATCACTATATATCTAATTATTAATAGATCTTCTATTAGATAGATTTAAATCATGTAATGATCTAGTGGAGTTGTTAAGCATGTGTCCTAAGTTATCTTTTGACAATAGATAAAAGTAAAATGCCAAAGGACAATTTTATCTCACAGATTTTTGGAGGAAAAACCATTCTCCTAAATCACCATTAAAAGAGACCTTGGAAGTAGTTTTGTTGTATAATGACA